CCTTTTATTGCAGTTCAGTCAATGTGACCGTCAGTCACAGGGCGTGGTGCGGTATCTAAAGCTAGAGAGGGGCGGAAAGTGTTCATTCTAATTACTTTTTTGTTCTCTGCCACAACGATGAAAACAGAAAATATATAAGTTCAACCGAGAAGACGGTTTTAAAGTTTTCGCTAGTCAGGTCGCCGAAACATCGAGATTAATAAAACATATTTATAAGCGATTAAGTCTCGATTTTTGACCGACTTCAAAGAGGAATTTCTCAATTCGACTGTATATTTTTGTTTTTTTGTATATGTTACGCGATAACTCCGGCTAAATGTGAATCGATTTTGATGATTTTTTTGTTGGAAAGACAAAGGTATCCCAGTAGTGGTCCCATTTAAATTTGAAGAAAATATTCCTTCCCTAAGGGTGGCAAACTAGGGAATGAATGACTTTTGAGGTCGGTTTTTTAGTGCTTCGTAATGGGATTATTTAAAATAAATAATGTGTGAATATTGTGAATGTTTAAACCGATGATTTACTCAATCACAGCTTTAGTTTTTAGGCTTTTATTGTGTAATAAAGTAGTAAAAGAAACAAAAACTCATCAGTTAACTACACTTGGAAACTACATTTATAATATTAAATCTCTTTATTATTCCAGACCTTCAGCAACACAGCATAAATCTGTTTACATCTAAGAGGATTTATTTGAGAAAGTTAAAGTTCCAGCCCCTAGTTTATTCCTTTCGTGTGTAAATCCGGCAAGTTAGAGTGAAACATTTAAATTAATGATACAGTCCCTACTTTCTTACTTCAGTGTTGAGGCAATTTGTAACATCTGCCTTAAGTTTTAAATTTTATTTTATTGGGTTTCTAATTTAGTCGACAAATATCTTATTCCTTGATTTGATTGAAAACGTGTAACATTACTAATATTGCTTCAAACAGACTAGAAATACGTCGTTTTAGGTAATTAACGTACGTCAATCGGTACTGGTAAATTAGTCAAAAGTATATGTTACAAACATGATAAATTAATAATAAGGTAATTAGAATCAATTATTTTTGTAACTATAATTCAGAATACGGTGATTCGCATAAGTAGGTGGTTCAAATCAATGAAATTCATTTATTCGATTTTAATAGAATAGGATACATTGTAAATATTGATGGTAAAAATTTAATAAAAAGCATACAAAATAATAAACGAATAAACAATATTAAGTTTATTGAATATAACGTAGTGATATTTTACTGTTGTTTACTACCACGATATACAATTGTTTTTATGAAATCACTGCACTACTTTGTAATACAAAGATCGAACACAAAGTAACACCTTCAAAAAAGGACCCTTCGATCCGGCTGGACTCGAACCAGTGACCACACCACACCGTGGCTGACTCTCAAGTGAGCTACGGAACGAACCAGCATACCTTATCAATTTCTTTATGTGCTATATGCAGATCTTTGTTTTAGGTCAGTGCCATCTGTGAGAAATCTATGATAGTTTTTCTTCGCTTAGGTATGTACTTTTACACCTACCGGCGGCTGAGTACATACAATACTAAATTAAATTAATTAATGTAGGATACGTCATAATTTACCACCACATTTTTTTATAATATCAAATTACGGGACAAGCAAGTCGTGCGCCTGATGGTAAGCTACACGCCTGTCCATAACGTGGTAATAAAAGTTGACAAGTCCCACGTGCCTGTAATTTCATCAGCACCCATACCCTTCAAAACCGGACCACTGTAATGCTGACATTGCTGCGTGGCAGCAGAAATAAGTAAGGTAGGAGTACTTCCTTGCACGAACTCTTTCACCAGACGCTCTACTGCTACTCAAAAATTTAATAAACCCGCGCGGTGTTTGTAGCGAAACAGCGGCGTGGAGGCAGTCGGTGTGACACCAAAAGCAGTCACGTTTCATTTTCTACATTGAACATTTTGTCCCAATTATTCGTTTCCTATATAAATAAACCATGGAAGATAATGTGTTTAACTTTGACCGATAAAACTCATATTAAGGTCAAGACACACTCATCAACGGCGATCAATTGTTTGTCAATACATAAACCACAATAGGAATGACAACAATTTAAACAAAATTTTATACTAATCGTGCTATTTTGTATGTAACACTTTGTTCGATCGTTGGTTTCGAAGTGTGGCATATGCCTATAGATTTTTGTGTTATGTTTGTTTGAATAAATTGTATAATGTACATATCTTACATTAAATGAACGCTGTTTTATTTAATTTAAGATACTAATGTTAATTAAAAGGAATTCATTCTTATAATTGACCTTTGTCATTGGCGTCATACAAATGTTTTTTTTTTCACAATTAGTCTGTTCGATTCTCAGATGAGGCAAGCATTTTTTAAAGTCTTTGAATGTATTATTACTTTTGAAAATAAAATATTGTCTACATGAAGTAAAATATCCTTTTTACAATATTTAAAGTACATTTTTTCCGTGCCCCATTGCCGTGGATAACCTGTATACAGGATGTAATCGTATTATTCCCAGGCGATTATTCCGCAAACGTAATAGATATTACAAACCTTTAAAGTGGTATAGAAAGTACGTTATCTAATGAGTAAAATAACATCAATAACTTAAAAAGAAATATACATATCTTTCTTGGTCCCATTCACAGTTTCTTAACTTTCACTCATTAGGTAACGTACTTCCTACATTAGTCTAAAGGTTTTTGATATCTAATATATTTACGGAATAATCACCTGGGTACACTTAACTTCATATATTGGGTACACTTAAAATTACATCCTGTATATGAAGTATATATATATACGTAGCGGGCAGGTAACGCCGTACAGTGTATTGTATTCTTACACAAACCGCACACCTTTTAATATTAGTATACCTGAGACGTTGACACGTAAATTCTCAGTACAGTAATTTCTCTAATTGAGTAAATAATAATAACTAAGTTGACTTGCGAGTTCTTTGAATTGTTTTCATTCATTTCCTTGATAAAAACAGCCTTGGTAAGCGTGTTTTATTTCTTAAGTTCAGGCAAACGCTAATATACTATAATCTTAATAATAATAAGCTAATAATGACCTTATTTTAGGGTAAAATTTCCGAATTGTTGTCTAGAGTAAATTTATCTAAACATCATGTGGGCATTGAAAATAAAGTGTAATTACTATTCTGTACACTTCCAAGTCAATTGAGTGCATGCGGTCTGCACCAACTGCAAAGGGCAACTAACTGATAGAAATCCGACGACAGCCAAAATACGAACACTGCCGAGATTCTCGTATATTAAGAAACTAGTTACACTATACAGAGAATCAGTTATTTTAGTGACAAGATATTCGTGTCGTCTGGCATATTAACATATTATTACTGATCGTAGTTGAGATTTTACGTGACTTCAGAGGCATCCCCACAGTCGTATAATAGCAGAAGAGCTCCTTGTGAAAGAGTACGAAAGAAAAGTCCAGAGAAATACTGCCACATTACCTGTTTCTGCCGCCATGCAGTAATATGAGCATTTCTACGTTCCGGTTTTGAAGGGTAGGGGTGCTGGTGAAATTGCAGACACATGGGGCTTTTCAACTTATGTCTCAGGATGACCGACGCATTAGCAGTGCTCCTCAGATTTTGACTTGGTCGTCCCGTCACTTGGTGTCATAAAAAGAACTATTTTTTTCGGATCTAAATCGAGTACATTTGCTTTTTCAAACAAACCAACGTTTCCGGCCCTTTACAGGTCACATGGTAACAGCCAACTGCGTGTCACTATTACTTATTCACAGTGCTGACTTCGAAGTGAAGTGAAGAACGAACAAGAAACTCTAAGAGTTGCTCTTTTGAAAGAAACTCAAATGCTGTGGAATACACTTCGAATCAAATTCCTTTCCATACATCTTTGTCTAACACGTAGTTTTAAATTTTGTAACACGACTCGTTTAGACAATCACAACATTCGTAGGAACCAAAAAATTATACATCGTGTTATCTTTTTATGTCATTGTCTCATCATTGGTTGTCCTCGTACACTGATACCTATAGATGGGTGCGGCTCTCTTGTGCAAAATACAAATAAACTAATTTCAAAACATATAACGTTCATTTAATATAATTTTTATTTGCACTAACCTTACTTCCTGTAACTTCATTTCATATAAGTCTCGTTTGATATAATATTTACATCTTATAAAAACATTTTATATAAAGCTCTTATCACATAACAATCGTTTTATACATTGTCATTTCATATAATTTCCACACAGTATAATGTAATTTTTTTAATAAATAATGAGAATAAACCCGACTCGTCATGGTACTTATCTGTTCGATACTAGAGTGTAATTTCATAGCATAATTTACATTTCTGAATCTTTGTTTTGACAGATTATTATTGTTACACATAGGCTTCCTTCGTGATTTAAAAGAAAACAAATGTATTTTACATGGCGTACATCCTGATTGCGCCCCCTATTTCGTAGCCTAAATTAGGTTAGTATATGAAAAAGCAGAGCCAGAAACAAATTTATTTGCGTTTCTCAATGACTTATTGATTTATTTGTGACAGATAACATAAGCATTTTTCTTCACCTACCCCACGGTTATACTAACTACAAAAATAATTGTACGCAAAACCGGACATTAGTTTTTGCTCCTTGGTACAAACAGGCTTTATGTGAAATGATGATTATAAATATAAACTGTTGGTATGTTTTAACTGAGGTTTATAACATATGTTTGTTATTGGAAATGATTGTTATCTACAGAGAAGTTAGAGGATGTAAATTTATATTAAACGTTTGTTATCTGTAGTGAATTGTTATATTAAATGAATTTATATGAAATGAAATTATGACAATTGAGCGTTATTTTAAATAAAGTTATATGATATCTTAGACTATATATACACCAGACGATTACCAGAGATTAATATTTGTTAAATTAATTCTAGTTTAACTTGCCTATAGGCACAATGAATTTATAAATACTTTTCTGATTTGTCTAGGAGTATCCGACTGTCCACCGGGCCCGCCGCAGTACTCCACGGTGGTCGCGACTCCCGAGCCAAAGAACTCGAGCAGTGCGCACAGCTTGGCACGTACTCACTCACCGAGCACGCCTTTATCGCCGCACGCTCAGTACACTGATTCACAGGTAGGCTTTACTACTAATACGCACTCGACTTCATAGAATAGTGTCTAAAAAACTTCACATTCAAATATAACATAGTGACTACCAAGCCCTAAGTAAATATCACAGATCGTGTTTCTTTAAAAGCACGCTCAGTACTCTGACTCAAGAGTGGCATATCGTTTTATTGTACAACACTCACCCTGCGGGCACGCTTTTAGCGCACACATACAATTTGAACGTATAAAAATGTGTTAGTTATGCTAGTACTAGTACCTACCAGCTTTTATAGCTATTTATGTAATGACACAGCATTAAATACTTTACTTAATTTCCTTATATTTCATTTGCTTAAGATTATACTGTTTTTCTTCACCCCATATTTTGTCCACTATAATACCGTAAATTGATGAAAGCTTGAAGCTGGTTATTTGTAATACATTTTGTTAACCCAGTCAATACAGTATAGGCTGTCTACCATTTTTGTAATTTGTATAGTTCTATTGTTGGGCACAAGCGTCCTCTTATATAACGGGCTTGGGCTGTAAGCCGTGGTATAACCAATGGTTGGTGCGAATCCGGGCTTGCCGTACCTTTGAGTTTTCAAACTTTATACTCAAAATTAAATTTGAAATTTACCATCAACTTTACGGTGATAGAAAACAACTTCGGAAGAACCTGCTCATGCACATATGTGCAAGAGCATTGCATTGCATGCACATATTGCTTTGTATATACAAAGCTCGCTCATTGTAGGAGCTTCCTCCCAAGCAATAGGTATATATAGGCGAACTATTATATTTTGAAGAGTTATAAAGTTTTTTTTATTTAAATAATATACAATATTCACTCACCGAGCTTGTCTATGTCATGAAGTGTGACACTTAAATACAGTTCTGTGGCTCTAGTGAAAACGGGTACGAGTCACAAAAGGCAACCGAATAAGGAAGCGCTTGCAAAATAGGCTTTTTTGACTTGTACCCTTTTTCACTAGAGTCACAGAGTTATGCAGGCTATTTCTGCCGCCAAGCAGTAATGTTAGCATTACTGCGTCACGGTTTTGAAGGGTAAGGGTGCTCTTGTGAAATTAAAAACATATGGGACTTGTCAACTTATGTCTCAGGGTGACGGGCGCAATGGTAGCGGCCCTCAGATCTTTGCGATTTAAAGCTCAGAGTGGCAGTGCAACTGTTATGGACAGGCGTGTAGCTTACCATCAGGTGCACGACTTGTTCGTCCAGTCTCTTTATATTGTGAAAAAAAAAACACTGAAGACCAATCAATCATTGCAGTGGTAACAGCCATGTATTACCTTTTTCTTCACTAAGAATCTCTATTTTTATGATGTAAGTGAACAGACATCGGGTGATTTTTTGAACAAAACGAAAAAGTGTTTTGAAATAAAAACACATTTAGACGAACGCTGTCTTACCAAATTCTTAGTACTTCAATTTTCTGTCTAATAAGTTCACATTTTGTTTCCTCATTTTACGTCAGCTATCATACCCAACTCCCAAGTCACAATCTTAAGATCTCAATGATGAAAGCAGAAGGCGGGCTGACAGTTAATATACCAAAGAGATGAGAAGACATTTTCTCATTTCATCTATCAAAGTAAATTACTTGAAATATCATTAAGGTAAATGTTTACTTTTCAAGAATATAGGATCAACTTAAAATAGTTCCTTATTGATTTATTACTGAAATCTGTTCAGAAAATGCTAAATTTCACTGCGACCGGGACACCAAGATTTTCATTGGTTAAAATAATCACATGACAATAATGGAATGGTCTACGATATGTTTATTTTGCTCGGCAGACGCGCCTCAGATTTTCTTAAACCCTTTTTATGACAAATTAGATGTTTTGAGATAGGCTGCTATTCTAGAAATCCATGGAAATATTGACGTGATTAGAAACATTACGAGATATCGCTTTTTTTTATAATACCAAGTGACGGGACGAACGGGTCGTGCGCCTGATGGTAAGCTACACGCCTGTCCATAATAGTTGCAGTGCCACTCCGAGCTTCAAGTCGCAAAGATCTTTGGGGCACTGCCACTGCGCCCGTCACCCTGAGATATAAGTTGATAAGTCTCACGTGCCTATAATTTCACCAGCACCCTTACCCTTCAAAACCGGAACACAGTAATTCTGACATTACTACTTGGCGGCAGAAATAGGTATCTTTACGACATCATCATCATGATCAAGCCACTTATACATCTCACTGCTGGGCACGGGTCTTCTCTCAAGCGAGGGTTTTATATGCAGGTTAATGCGGGTAGGGATTTCACACGTTTCCCCAGGGTTGTGAATCTTCTTCGACGTGCAGATTTCGTACGGTGATTTCCTTAACTGAAAAGCTTATGAAAAATTCTAAATTTTATATTTATTTAAAGAATAAATGCCCTCGGCCTTCTTTACAACGCCCTTACAGGGTATCATTTAATGAGAACCTGTAATTATGTTAGGTAAGATCTTTGTACCTTATATGGAGTAATAAATTGAAATCGAAATTAATATAATTTGGCACGTAAATCACAAAAAACCCAAGGTGCGAGCACGGATTCGAAAGCACGGCCTCTGCTTTAGAGACGGTAGGTCAAATCATTACGCTACCACGGCTTTTCTTTTTTAACGTTTTTATTGTTACGATATACTTACAGCACACCTAACACATATGCGCCCCCGTAGCATGGCTACGCATGATAGGCGCGCTATTGGCTATCTCAATCAGAACTAATTTAGATAGCCAATAGCACGCGCCTATTTCAATTTTACACCGCGCGTCGCGAGCATCATGCGTAGCCATGCTACGGGGGCTGAAGGTAACAAAATCTTTAATACGGGTAAAAATATTTTTCAATAATGTTCTCGAAAAGTTGTACAGTCAAGAGCACATCATGCTCGCCACTTTGGACCGTCCTTATCGCAAGCGTCTTAGAGTTGAATTTAAATCTTAAGTGTTAGGCTTGACGTGCTCTTGACCCTGTACTTCTTATATCGGTGAAGCTTATATAAAGAAAGTGGTACTTTTTTGCTGGAAAAGTATTTAGGTACGTTTTCAACCTAATGCGGAAAAAATATTATTTCTAAATTAAAAAATTTGCTGGAAAGGATTACTTATTCTTTAATTGCGTGTAAAAATAAACAAATTATAAAAAAACAATTAGTTAATGATTAATTAAGTTAAAAAGTTGTTGTAAATTTAATTTATTTTAAGATAGTTATAATTTAAATTTTTACATTTATTTTATCAAAAAATATGTTTTCGAGTATTGCATTGTAATTTTGTTTCGATTATCCACAAACCTTTGTAACAGTAATTAGAAAATCCGTTACCTAGTAAATTTGTTGCGAAACGTAGTTAATAATCGTTGTTTATAATGTACGTCATTATGTGTAGTTTTAAGTGCTATAGGGAATTAACTCTGCTTGCCGCCGAATTCTAGAGACATATACAGGGTGCAGTTTATAATTGCGACTTATATAAATTACATGTTGGTCTTTTTTGGTCAGATGTGAGCAAAATAGACAAATTAAACGAGTACTATGTGCACTGAAGTTACCTATCGCTGGGTTATTTGACATATTTTTCTTATTATTAATTTGTCTTTTTAATAAAAACGTGATATGTTCAAATGCATTTTTATACAATTGCATGTTATGTAAAGTGATTCCGATTCTTATTTAATATTGTGGTATTTCATTTAAAAAATACGCGGCTTTCTCACAAATGTATTGAAAATATCGTGTTACACTGACTTTTGTTAACTTCAATTAGAAACTGGTGACGCTTAAACCTTTCCCTACGGCTCGGGCTTAAGAATCAATTCGTAATTTGTAATAATAATCTAATAACATACTTACCGCCTTAGTAAAACATACTGTTCTACTACAAACATTTGCATACACAACACAGTGTGTAAGAAAATTTTCATATTCAGATATGTATCACTATAATATAATAATAAATATCACTAACCGGGTTTCTTTGACAGCTGCGCGCTTAGAATTCTAACTCAAGTTGTGAATCTAACTCAGGCATGTCTCAACAATGTACAACACTCACTAGCCTAGCATGCCTTTATCGCACGCATAGCGGTACCTTGAACGTCTAAAAATGTGGCATTGGAATACACCTCATTCATGATAGTACTTACCAACTTTTATAGAGTAAATTACACAGCATTAAGTACACTGAATTATTTTTCTTATATTTTGTTGCTTAACCTGTTCATGGACAGTACATAACAATGAACACGGCGCACAGAAAAATGTCACCACTTTTCTTTGTGCCGTAATGCTTATATTGATTAAATATAATACGTAATATAAATAATTACCCTTTATCACCGACGGCAGATCCCGTGAACATTAGCCCCCTTTACACAATCACTCTATCGCGCGTAATCAGAAGCGTACAGGATTGCGCGCGGGAAAACTTGCACGCGCAATCATGCCCGATTACATGTTTGAAGTTTTTTAAACTTACGTTAATTCGCGCGCGATTCCTCGTGTCCGTTTTTGATACAACGGAAAGAGCGTCCGTGTGAAGGCTAATCACGCAGCATAGATAAATCAACATAGGCTAATCACATAGCATAGTGCGCGACAACGCGCGCGGCTGATGCGCGCAATCGCGCGGTCTTTCCCTTTTCCTTCCAACATCTTTACACGCGCGCTAGTACGTTGTTGATACTTCTCTTTGGAGATGCAGTAGGTGGCAGCGACTACAGAAAGCACTTGGAAATTGCATTGTAAATCCCGTAGTTGGTGTTTTGAAACGCAAACAGCAAAAGTCGTTACTGTCCAAAAACGAGTTAAGATCATGTTATTTTTTTTGGTCGCCCCATGTTTTGTCTGCTATAATACTGTAAATTGAAGAAAGCTACAAGTTAATTATTTGTGATGCATATTTTTAACCTAATGCAGTATGAACTCTTTTTGGTGAGCAAGCTTACCATAAAGCACATAACTTGTTCGTCACGTGCTTTAAGCGGCACGCCAGACCCTAACAGTTGCAGTGCCACTCAGAGTTTTAAATAACAAACATCTGAGACATAAGTTGACAAGTCCTATGTAACTGTAATTTCACCAGCAACCCCTTCACATTACTGCTTGGCGGCAGAAATAGGTAAGGTAGCAGTACTTCCCTGGACGAACTCTTTCACAAGGGGCTCTACTGCTCTAAAACTATTTTCATGTCTACCATTTTCATAAGTTTGTACCTTCGATAAAGCCTTTATTTTTTGTATTTGTGTTTGTTTTCGTGGGACATTGGAGAGTTAAAAGTACTTCTAATTGTGGTTAGTCCAGTAATGTGGTTTCAAATACTACTTAACTGGCTCTATTGTAGCACTCAACTTAGCATGCACGCGAGCAAGTTCCTCGGTACCCACGTCTTCATTGCAACCGTATAATTAACCAAATCGCTTACTTTCAAACTTTGGATGAATTTCGCTCGTTACGGTTAGAACGAAATTGGGTTATTTGGATTGGAGAAGTGAACGTCGTTCTTAATTGGCTATTGGATTACGTTAAAAGGTCGGTACGAGTAACCAAGACACCAATTCCACTTTTTCCAATATTTCTCTTAGTTTTTATTGCCCATGCAAATATTAAGTTAACTTGGCACTTTTTGCACACTCACACTTACACGTAAGAAACTATAACATAAAAATGTTAATATAGTTACATCTAAAGTTGCCAGTCCGTTGTATCGCATGGTACAAATATTTATAAAATGTTGGTAATAATTAGTATTTATATATTAATATTTAGGAATGGATCTTCCTAGATTTGATGTTTTTTCAATATTACAGTCTATTAGCCGAAATGAATAATATAAACTTTCAAACCATCACTTCAAATCTCGACTTAGAAACATTCGTGACAATAATAGTTATTTGTTATGCAAGGCTGCAAAGTTGTTGTTTGACGCGAGTGCTTGTATTGAAACCTGAGCAAGCGAAGGATTCTTAGATTCCAAATATAGAATCCTGTGTATAGCAAGGGTTTCAAGGCACGTGACGCAAAACAACTTTGCCGTCGAGCGAAACTCACAACTTTTCACCTAACTATAGCGAGGAAAATGGTAGATGAAATAAAAAGAGTCGAACTGTAACAAATCAGTTTTAATAAACATAATTAGTTATCGTTGTCAATTTAATGTCAACAATAAATTGAATAAAATATACCAACCGATTTATAGTACATAAATAATGTACGACAAATCGTGTAGTTGAACGTGTCATTGTTTTTTTTTATCGACAGAAAAAGTTAATGCGTTCGAGTTCGATTTTCAAAAACCTTTTCCACGACAGCGTGGAAAAAACGCTTCTGCGCGCAGATTTCTAATGAGAAAGAAACTTTCTGAGCTAGTGAAGTGAAAAAGAATTTCTTTTAATTGTGCATTGCTTACGGCATATAATGTGTAAGCCAGATGAACATCAGATCCGAATAGGTTATAAAAACTATAAATGAGCATAGATTACAACATTAACGAATATTAATTTTGCAGTCGAGTACACTAAACGTGTTTTAATATTCTTTGAATATTTCAATTAGTTTACTGCAGGTATACAGGGTTATTTTTAAAATACTAACAACCTGATAGGAATATATTATTAACATCATAAACAATAACTTTTGTCGATGATGATGGTTTGCAAAACATAATAAATTTATCAAAAATAAAGTTTTAAGTTTTGTTATTCCAGACTTTGAGATCTGTCTTTGATAATAAGGCAGTAAGTTCAAACTTTTGAGCGTCCTCCCCGACAGCCTCAAACATGGGCTCCTGTATTTTCCATATCACCGTTTAGAACGACGTATTTAAGTATTTTATTTTTGTACGAAAGTAAAATGTAATGAATTATTATTATACGGGGAACAAAAGTTATTGTTTATTACGTTAGTATTTATAGTCCTGAGGATTTGTTAGTTTTTACATATAACCTTGTATAATTGCAAGGTGGTAGGTAAGTAGGCAACACGTAGTATGTTAATTTACTAAATTACGATAATAATTTCTCTTAACAAAGGTATAATTACATCAATCAAACTCCACAACTAAAACCTCAACAATATCTCGGCCATTACAAGTCTTAGAGGTTTAAAACATTTAGTTTAGTTAACTGTAGCGCAGTAATGCGGACATTACTGCTTGGCGGCAGAAATAGGTAAGGTGGCAGTACTTCCCTGGACGAACTCTTTCACAAGGAGCTCTGCTGCAGCTAAAAATATACATTTGTTCCAGGCCTTAAATGGATACTGTAATTAACAGAACACAATCATGATAAATAAAATATACATTAAAATTCCAGAAAATCGTTTTCCTATATGAAATATACCTATATAAATAGTAAAAAACGCACACACCCCTAGCCCCGCACTAAGGAAACCCTGTATCGCGGGTGCCATGGCCACACACATAGACAACCACAAATTACCTTAAAACTCACTAGAGAAATAAATATAGGCCATACAAATATTTCTCCCGGCCCGGGAATCAAGTCCGCGACCACTGCGTGGCAGACCAGTATGATAACCGTTCGGCCACAGAGGCAGTTGCATGCGGAGCATATAAGCTTCGGAACAATCTACCACTGTTACTACCAGGAAATTGTCATTATCAAAGGAAAATGTTTTCAATTCATTCTTCTTTATTGTCCCAATTATTAATACAAAAATCGAATGCTCAGAACAATTTCTTATTTGCAGCTGGATTTGAACCAGCGCCTTCAGCACGGTATACAGAAGGCGATGGTTCTAATAATAGTTAAACACCATGGTAGTAAAACACCGTGATATTCATTAACTTGATATTACAATTTCATGTGTTGTTATTTCTCCACTTATCCACCCAGATACTCGTCGGCAGTTAAAATTTGGCACCTACAAATGCCCCTGGGCTGATTTATAATTTATCACGCTTGCGACATACGTTACTGGAAAGGGGCGAGGGTGAAAATGTAGTTTCAATATCCGGTATGAGTCACCATACTCATACCGGAACCTGCATCGACCGACCAAAACAAGCCTTACCTCCATGTAAATAAAAGCAAAAAAGAAGTGCGTTTCGCGTCGGCGCGGCGATTCCAACGAAAGCTAAACGCTCAGATATTTGTGACAGTGACACCTTTAGGGTGCATTTTTTTTATAACAACACGTGACAGGACGAACAAGTCGTGAGCGTGATGGTAAGCTACACGCCTGTCCATAACAGTTACAGTGCCACTCAGAGCTTTAAATTGCAAAGATCTGAGGGGCACTACCACCGCGCCCGTCACCCTGAGACCCATGTGCCTGTAATTTCACCAGCACCCTTATCCTTTAAAACCGGAACACAGTAATGCTGACATTACTGCTTGGCGGCAGAAATAGGTAATTTATTCCACACGATTATCGCCGCGTGGCGACCGCGTGGCGTGCGTCTACGGCAAAATAAGCTCTGTTTATTTAGCGTTTACATTTTAACTTAATTCTGTATTATTCAGAGGAATTTAATTGTTGTTGCTTAGTAAATATAATTCAGACTCGCCATTAATGTACATGAAGGCGTGGTAACTGGGTGGTTGGAAAAACTTTCTTCTCGTGTAACTGGGCGCTCATTGTCCACTCGTTTCGATTTATATTTATACTGAAGTCCGTTGTTACGGACGCTTTGACACTGTGCATGTTTGTCTCTTTCTAGGACTATCTTATTCTTAATTACGTTAATCAATAACTTTTCTGTACAGAGTGAGTCCGGTCGTGGTGGAGTGAACGGCACACTCAAATCACATCGAGAAGTGGTAACAACAAGAACACCCCTGCTCGCAGCTCATCAAGAAAGCTGTGTGTAATATAAACAATAGTTTTTAGTAAATTTAAAAAAGTAATTACTTGCTACATCGAATAAGGATTCATTGAGAAATTAAACAAAATTTTAAAGCCCCCTGTTAATTTTACCATTATAGTGTGTATGTTGATTACAGATGATTTTGTATTTAGAAGAAACAGAATGATACATAATATCGATACTTTGAGTTAAAAAGGCGTGAAAGAAAATTTTATCAACAATGATTTATAGATATATTTGGCTTAAATTTTTAAGTTCTTTCCATCTGTTTAGTCGAAGAAACATTTTTCGTCAAAAAAAATTTTTACTTAAAAATTAATGAATGAGTGTTTTTCAATCACCTTGCAAATTTCTGGCTATTACGTCTTTTTTCCCAAAAGTGTATACTTATTTATCTAACCTATCTACCAGAAATGTGGCAGCAAAATAAGCAATATTATTTCAAAACGCCGTTAGAGCACCGCGTTTTACCATCCAAGGACGGGAAGACATTTTATAAACACTCATCTATTCCAGCCATTTTGAAAGAGAAAAAGAAAACATTATATTACGCCGCATGCCAACAAAGGAGCAAATATTAAACTAAAAATAAAGATTGCTATGTTTGTGGCGACACGTGTTGTGGTAATACCCCACTTAGCTTGTGCTGTGTTCAGAAGACAACAAATATTCTATAGGGTCTTTTTGTTAGGTGATAGTAGATTGCTAAAACACTTAATTAAAACTTACTACTAAAAATTAGTTATAAATTAAGGGCTATCTGTGTAAAAGTGGTGTAACCCACATTTTATTTTTTTCTACAATATTACTTTAAATGATACTAAAGTGCACAATTATTATATATTTGGATGCTATTTTCATGTGTAAAAATATATAATATCGTATCTTTTGCGCCGATAGCCTCATTGGCGCAAAAGTGGTGGCGGTTTAAATGATTCTAAATATGAAATTATTTTATATTTCAATGCTATTTTCATGTATAAAAAATGATAATTAAGTATTACATACAACGATATTATACGAGTGTTATATACAACGGCGGCGGGTAACCGATGGATGCACGTCGCATCCGACCGGCTAATCTTTGAAGGAAGACCTATGTTCAGCAGTGGAAGTCTTCCGGCTGATATGACGACGATGATGTTCTTACATAAAATAAATTTGGCTAATTTTATGTCAATTATTATCTTTTGTATACATTTCATGGGGTTACACCAGTTTTCCGCCGAAAGCCTCAATTTAATTCTTATATTTGAATATACATATAACAAATATCTGCCTTTTTAACCTAACCTTTTTGCAGCGTTATGTCTGATCAATCTGGTCACAGCAAATAATTACAATAGAATGCAACTTCCACATCAGCACCAGACAAACTTTGAAAACTGTGAGTCTGATCTCATTGTATGGCGTACTTTACGGTTTATAACATTGGAAGCGTCTTTCTTATCACGTTTACCGTGTAAAAATAATATCTTTTCTTATCTTACTCGATCCCTTTTCAATTTTTGTAATGTCCAAAAGATCTCCATTAACTCGAAAACAGGGGGCTAGATTAGGCAATTTAAACTTGGAGACAATGACTGATAATGATCGTAACGTAAATAAGGAAAATCCTTAGAAAATACAAAGACGTCTTGTTCTTAAAATCTGGTTAAGTACTCTTTAAGAGAAAATTAAGAGGGCTATAAGCTCCTAGGCGCTGTTTTAAGAGTTGTGGGTTACGGAGATTTGCGGACGTGATATGGACCGGCTTCACTTTGATCTGTACTTCAAAATTATGACAGGAATGTAGTGTCCCATCTCAATTCTACATAGATGTTATAAGGGTTATAGTTTGTATTATTTTAATATGGATAGAAAGAAAAAATATTTAACAATATGTTTTATTATTATTGATACAAACAATGCCACTCAACGTGGCAAGAAAGTCGGTAACCAGACGCTGGTTCGAGTTTAATCGGATCGATTGAATTTTTCTTCGTGTTTGTTCGATCTTTTCACCAATAATAATATTGATATTATCAGTCAATATCAGAGGAGTATTATTATAAAAAAAAAGATAAATATTATGGTTGTAAAAGCATCATGATTCAATAAAAATAAAAGAATGTCTGTTTTATAATGATAAAACAGGATGTTGAATGCAATTAGGTTAATTGTGTGAAAAGCATTTTGGCAGACATTTGAAGAAAATGGATTTGTTCGGATGCTTTAATATTGCCTTTTGAAACCATTTTGAAACAAAATGTAAATCGATACCTCCAATGAACACTACGCCAATTTAATTTTCGGTCATTTTCTGCTTTTATTTTTGTTTCTTATTTTTTTTACCAAGTTAGTTTTTTTAAATTTTGTTTTATTTTGTTTTTTTATTTTTTTTTCACAAAATTTGGGGAGCATAATATTTGCAAATAAATAAGACTGTTTATATTAAAAATAGAAAATGACCAAAAATTAAGTTGGCGTAGTGTTCATTGGAGGAATCGAAATGTTTTTGCGTCCTTGTCACCTCCGCACCACGTTCGTGCCTACTATCTCGTCCAGTACGCGTCCTCTGTATAGTTTTCCTCTTATAATTGTAAGCCATGTAAAATAACTCACTAACTTCGATGTTATTTTTTAAATTATATTTTATTTTAGTCATTGCACTATTATAGTTTAATAAATTATTAATTATAAAAAATTGTATATTGTACAAATTGTGTTTGTTAATTTTAACAATTGTAAATTAGATTATTGAATCTACCGTCACGAACTCATTGCGGACTGTTATTAATTTTATTCATAGACAAATTAAAACCAGTCTCTCGTTAATATATTACTAATTTAATATTTATAATTAGGGAAATATTAATAAAATATGAACACTATTTGTGTATATTTTATCTAGTTAATAATATTAAACATCATAAAAGATTTTAAATTTTTAACTTGAGAAAAATAAAATTGACAATGTGCAATGTTGGCTTTTTTTATTTGTTGTGTCTAATTTCGCTCATTCCACGTCAATCCGGACGTTTACCGGTAAAAATGTTGTGTGGTGATTTAGATTTTTTTTAAATATTTCAGGAGCATTCTGTATACAAAATAATGGAAGTCGCTTCGCAAAAAAATTTGCGTACTAATCATACTTGATTAATTAATTATTATATTATATAATATATACGTTTTCTGTTTTACACATCACGCTAAACTTACTTTTCGTGTACACACATAACATTTTTTATTTATTACTTCTAATATTCATATGCAGAATTCTATTGTGAAATTAGAAATAAATCGGAATAATCGGTTTAAATCAAGTGTTCAGTTAGACGTGGATGAGATATTTATAGAAAGGTAATTTGTTACCCTCGAACGTTCCAAAGAAAAAGTGTACTATAAAAATATCCTTTAAATTACATTTTTATTAAATATTTATAACATTACATGTTACATAATATTTTCTACCATATCAGGAAATTCATATCACGGTCCACAGGACTAGATAATCGAGTTGAATCAGAGATTTGTCAACTACCAAAGTCGTACACCTCATGCGATTTTTGTTGAGGAACGTAGTAAATTGTGTAACTTCTTCACTTTATTTAACGGTTATATTGATTTGAAAAAAACAGCACAGACTGGTTGTAAAAAAAAAGGAAATAAATTGCTCATGGTGAAATGAATTTGAACCCTACGCACGAAAATTAAAAATTGTGAGTAGCTTTAAATTTATTACGATGTTTTAAAAGAAGCGATGAGCATTTTTTATCACATGTGATCCAATAAAGATTATTAAAATATTCTTTTAGTTTTTTTTCTACACTTTACTGTTTAAATACAAGGTTGAACTGAAGACTAAAGTTTTGTGATCTAGTTTCTTGTTGAAACTCTACTAAAGTCAAACTTACAAATAAAACTTGTAATTAATCTATTTATACAATACAACTTCTGTAAGATTTAAGGCTAGTAACCTGAGGAGAAGCGGGAAAAACTTTTCGCAGATCAAATGGTTATATGGTATTTACAGGCATTTACTGCTAAATAATAGTCTTAGAAAAAGTGTACGATACACCTAAGAATGTTATCTAAATAGTGTGCTAATGTGTTACACGATAGGGTGACTTTATCTGATCATATAACATTCTGAAAACAGGCTAAAATAAAAGACCATAACGAATTATTTAGGCTCAACTCACACTGGGCCAGAGTCGAAGCGTCGCGTCGCGTCCAATTTTTCAACTACAACGCTTGGCGACGCGCGACGACACTCGCATTAATGCGCCCGGATCACAGTGTGGTCGGCGTCTGATGCCTCACTGCGCTCAAGTGACGCGCGCAGCCGCTCGACTGCAACCAGGCGTCGACGCTCGTTTCCATATTTGAATAACACAAATTTGTACCTTTATGATGGGAAAATAGAGGTGAATATGCTATAGATGAAAAACACGACGCGTCGCAACGCTTCGACTCTGTGCCAGTGTGAGTTGAGCCTAAAGAATAAAATATCTAACTTCGCACATAATTTTTACATGGGGATATATCTCTTTAAGTACTACAGAGAACCTGCTAAATTTTAGTTTTCAATTGAAGCCCTATTAGTTATTAAATTCACATTTATCCCAAAATTTGCCAATTTAACGACACGCCGTGGTGCCCCGTCAGTCGCCATCGAGCGCTTGCCGACGTAAGAGCTGTGTCAAATTGTCTACGCCTGTTCTTATTTCATTCACATTAATTTACGGCTAATAAAATCTAGACTCGCAATATTAAATATCTCGCCTGAACCAATGTATAGCAAATTTGTAAAAGATGATAGTCCAATATGTATTTTTTACAAACACCACATACCATTTTTTATAAAGTTTAATGGGAACTCGCAAATAAAAACTATATTTTTACAAAATTATAACTTTCTCCCATTGCAATCAGTTGTTAAAAAAAAGCACGCGAAAAAACGTAAAATTGTTTTCCAGTGATGAATAAAAGTAATGGTCAAAATAGTGTGTATTTAGAAGCTTTTTAAATTGTTCCTACGTAAAATACTTGTTTCACAAAATTTTACTCTACAGCACGGAAAAAATGAAATATAAAATCGAGGTCCCTTTTTTCCGCTCGAGTATGCATCGCAAAATCGTAAAATTTGCGGCATTTTTTGGTACTATGCATCATATCATATATCAATCAATAACAAGCACGTTTAGTAATCACAATTTTTTATTAAAAATATAGTGGGTTGGTCAGAATATTGTCCTTGAAGGTCACAAATTCGTGTATATTTTAAATTTTCATTCTTATATTCAAATAAAATTAGTCGAATGCTGCTACATAATAAATAATTATAGTTGGTTAATGGAATGTTGAAAAATGCCCAAATAAGTAATACATAATCTACTTCGCTTTCCTTCAATCGATTTTCTCTGAAGGT